AAATGGATATTCGAGTCACTTCACAAACTGAAGATCTCAGAAAATGGACTCGTCTCTTTTGTATTTGCTTATCCTTACCGTTCAGTGCATTTTACTTATTAATTCTGCCTTGACCCAGAACCAGTAATTTAATTTCAACCTCAAAGTTATTTCCAATTCTTGTTGTTTTTTTTTTTTTTTTTTCCCCTATAACCACATTAAAAAATTACCCTCCACACCCTGCCCCAGGCAGTGGTTCCCAGGGTCTTGTATATGCTAGGCAAATCCTCTGCTTCTGCGCTACTCCTCACTACCCAATGATTGACATTTCTCCATCATTCTATCTCATATTTGTTGCTGTTGTTTTTTAATTTGATGTATTTGGCACAGTGTCTCGCTATGCAGTTCGGACTCATAGTGATTCCCCTGTTTCAGCTTCCCCAGTGCTGGGATTACAGGCGGGGCCAGCAAAGCATACAGTACTAGGGATCCAACCCTAGTCCTTGTGCTTGTCTAAGTAGGCGCTTAGACTGCTGTGCTAACCTTTGGCCCCCGTTGTTATTGTTTTCTTTTGATCTTTGCTCGAATTTTTAGCCTCTCTTTTTTCCCTCTGATTTCTATTAATCTTTTCATTCCCTTTTCACAAATACATGTCAGTGTGTTTCCTAACACTTTTCATGATCTGGTCCCAAATTATCTTTTTAATGTGATCTGTCTTTGTCTTAGCCCTCTGTCATCTTGTGCTGTAACATAACACTACATATTGGGGTGTTCCCAAGCATGTTATGTGCTTTATTTCTCAAGCCCTAGCTCAAGTTCTTGTTTTTTGGGGGTTTTGTTTTTAAGCTTAGAATGTCGTTTTATAAATTGTAAACAAATTTGATATCTTTAAATCCAGCTTTCTAACCATTTTTTGGTGATTAACTTTGCATCTCAACCTTTAATGTGATTTATTTTCTCTCTGTGTTCACTCTTCTGCCTTTCTATGACACATTACTTGCATCTCATTTTCGTACTCTTTTTGCCTTACATTTTACTTCGTTATTTGCACCTTATTTTTTCCAGTTTTGAAATACTTATTTTTAACCTGTTTAAAGATGAGAAATGTTTCAAAGCAGAGTTTTGTTACTCTGAAAAATTTTTAATCAGTCATGTCTTAAAGAGTGAATGACATCTTAGAATTATGAAAATGGTATATCTCTTCCACTAGTAAAAGGTACAATTTGAAGTTTAGGTACCATGCTTTTTAAATCCTCCTTGCTGTACCATTCCTCTCTAATTTACCCAGCCACTCACAGACTTTCTCAGTAATAAAAATATAATGTGGTGGAAATTATACCTTAAATGTATATCTTAGAAAATAAGCAACACTGGAAATTAACAAACTAGCCGGACATTCATCTGGAAACTGAAGGAGAGCAAACCCAAAGAAAACATAAAAAAGCAAATTGGAAAGGTAGGAAGTGATGTGAATGACATGAACAATATGTGAAAGCATGGACTACCTCCACTTTTTTCCTTGAAAAGACTGTGAAAGACTTATCAATGAGAGAGGGGCTGGAAATGTTGCTCAGAGGTGGGTCACTTGCCAGTCATGCACAGGGCCCTAGGTTTGATCCTTAGCACTGCAGAAAAAGAATGCATAAATAACCTTTATCCGTAAAACGTAACAATTTTAATTTGTGGTAAAGTACTGTATCTTATGTTAATAAGTAGGGAAATATGGACTGAATAAGTGCATTGTGTTGTCCATTATAAAACTTGGGCTAAAATAGGACCAGTCCTTAGCTTCTTTCTTTGTACACCCTACAATCTACTCTTCTTTCATTGATCTGTAATGATCTAGTCCCTTCTTGCCCATTTTGGTTATTCTGTGTTATAGCTGTATCAGTCTACTTTCTGTTCATTTGGAGAGCTGTTTCTTACTTTTTTTTTTTTT